AGATTTTTTCATTTTTTTTTGTTTTTCTGTCTTTCTCTTTGTCTCTGTTTGTCGGTTTGTCTGTTTATCTGTTTGTATAGGCTTATCTCCTAAACTTTTAGACCTTATATCTCTGGTCAACATTTTAGATACTTTTCATCCCAGAAAATTAAAGAGTTCGTAGGCTAGTTAAAAAATTATAGTAATTAAACAAAGTATGAATTTTTTGGGAAATACTTACCTTAAATTATTTATAATATGTCATGACATATTAATAATCTAAGGTACATACATAGTTTTTAAATTTTATCAATTTCATTATTTTAATAAACTGATTCTACGGAATCGCTTAGTAATAAAAAAGCGACCTAAAAAGATGAGAACAAGTTGACGAAGGAACAGCATTTCCCAACGTTAAAAAAAAAGGTTATGACAAATATGTTGACACACGAGATAACGGTCAATGAAGATCAGATTAAATATGTCGATGAATATATATACTTAGGACAGGTTATATCAGTAAAAAAACAACCGGTTAAAGTAATTCCAAGGAGAATTAGTATCACATGGAAGCGTTATTGGTCACTAAAAGAAATTACGAAAAGTACACAAATTCCTATTCTAGAAAAGAGTAAACTATATAACACTTGTGTTCTGCCCTGCTTCACCTAGGGCTGCCAAACTTGGTCACAAACATCAAAAACTAATAATATGCTGAAGGTATGTCAACGAAGTATGAAAAGAAGTACGCTGAACATCAGAAGAAAAGATAAATGGAGAGCCACTAAAATAAGGAAAATTACTAAAGTTGAAGATGTAATATTAAAGTACGGACTTTGAAGTGGAAATGGACAGGACACATAATGAGAACAAAAATAGACAAATGTACGAGAGAGGTCACAGAGTGGTACCCAAGAGACAGAAAAAGGAAACAAGGTAGGCAGATCAAAAGATGGGAAGATGATGTACCTAAAAATTGGAGGAGTTAGTGCAAGAAAGAAATAAATGGAAAGAATCATAGGAGGCTTATGTCGCAAGACAACTTGACCCAGTTGTTGAAAGGATACTTACTGTAAACATATCAAAACCAAAAATTATGATAGTAAAAACAATAAAAATAAGCTATTAACATAAGTTGAAAAAAAAGTAGCTTATAATAGCTGTTAAAATACTCAATAGTTATTAAGTTATATGAAAAAGTGTTTAGTGTTTTGTGAATTGGTCAGAGAATAAAGGCTATTTTTTTTTTTTATTTATGGATATCCCATCGGAAATGTACATTTTTCCGGGATAAAAGTAACGTAAATTTCATCCAGATCCGTTCAGCCGTTCTGGCGTGATAGAGTAACAAACAAACTTTTGCATTTATAATATTAATGGGATGGATTACAAAAGTTTTTTTTCCATAATTCTTGACATTGGTTCAACATTTAATACAGATAATTGAAAGATTATTCAAGATACGAGTGAGATCACAAATAAATATTTTCCTTGTTTCTCTACTTCGCAGTTCGCACTTTAAAAATCAACAAAAAATATTGGGTTTCAATTTAAATTATCAGTAAAACATAATAACTCAATTAAAGAGTATTTTTACAGTATTTTAAAAATAAGGCAAGATAAGATTGATAAAGGATAGTAAAAAAATAACATAAAAAATGTAACCCAAAATTTAAGGGTTGTTATTTCGTAGGTAGCTACTACCGGCTTAGAATGCCATTCTGAGAAAAGCGGACGAGAAACTCAACAGTAACTGAGGCTCACCCTTACGGAATGATAACTTATATTTTATACTGACAAATCAAAATTGCTTGTAAAATTATAACAGGAGTAGCATTGCCCGCGGTTTCGCCCGCGTTCAGATGACCAAAAATCAAATTCTTAGGTTTTACATATTAGTATACTCTTACATTGAAGTTTTTGTATTTTTTCTCAAAGATATTTTCCCGCGGTAAAAAGTATCCTATATGTTGACCAGAATAACCAGTTATCATTATACCAAATTTCATCAAAATCCCTCCAATGGTTTTTCTGTGATGCGCTAACAGACAGACAAACATTCTAAAAACTATAGATTCGGCCTCTGTATCGATTATTTCAATAAGATCTTCCAAAAAATATCTAATGTACAGATTCGGCTTAGTTACAATTTTATTATATGTATAGATAAAATATATGTAAAATATGACTCAGCCTCGCCTCATTTTAGACATTTTTAGTTTTATATAAACAATTTCTTATCTTCCATTATTATTTTAAAACATATAAGTTATACATATTTTTGTAATGGCCTCTTAAAACTTGTATTTTGATACCCCACTCGACTGATTCGGACGAAAAAAATTTATTCAAGACACAAATTGGCCACTAAGATTGATATCTAATATCTATATACCCTATGACATTCGCATTATGAAGACGAAAATATAAATCATCAAAATCGATGTAGCCGTTTAGTAATTACGAGAGAACATAGGATCGGGTATACATACATACACGTACATACAAGTCATATATTATGACATGATGTTCTCCTGACCGATTCCGGCCACGGCGGCCAATCTCATTGAGACTAGCCAACTGCACAGAAGATATTATAGTGAACAAGTGTGCGCGCAGATACAAGTGCACTCTCTATTTCTGTCACTTGCATACTCTGGTCGGACGACCACTCGACTCGACCAGTGAGAGTTGAGGCGCAGGACCTACGGCTTTACGTGCTCACCGAGGCACGGGGGTGAAACAACGCCAACTTCCAAACTCCGGGCTGTAACTGAGGCTTACTTATACAAGAAGACTCAATAACTAAACTTGGCCCGACCCGGGACTCGAACCCAGGACCTCCGGGTGTGCAGCCGTACATGCTAGCCACTACACCACCGAGGCAGTTATATTTTATGACATAACCCTCCTTTGGGCTTTGCCGCAGTCGGTTAAAAAGTAATAGGTATTGTTATTATGATATTGTACTACAAACTACGCATAAGGCATATTATCTTTCACCACGATTCATTTGAATATATAGCGAAATGTAATACGAAAACAGTTCCTAGAATGATACCATTGATACCTCCAGTGTATTCCATGTCATAACAATCGCGAAGACGCGTTTAAGTAGTACTATTCAAATGTATTCCTTAATATCCTACGATAAGGTCCATAATTGTGTGACTCTGCCGACAATTTGTGGGTCATTCGATTGGGGAGGTCTGTGGATCATTACGAACAGTAAACATTTTACTGCAAGGTCAAGAGTGAATCCGAAATATATTCTGAACAATCACTTGCTATCGTTATTTATTATTACTGGCATTAAAAAATACGAACGTACATAGTATGTCTGTATTTACGTCATCACGTGACTTCTTGATTACATAATTTTTTTATCAAAATTCGTGGTACAATTAAAATTCTAAAGATCTCTCTAATGTTATTTATATATACTAGCATTATCAAAACATAATTATTAGTAGGTATGATATTTAGGTATCATATTATATAGATAACAAGTGGCTCAGTTTGTAGTGAACTTACATGCTGTGTTAGCAGTCACGGGTTCGAGTCCCGCTGGGGGCATTCATTTGTGTGGTGAGCACGAATATTTGTACTCTAGTCATGGGTATTTATATTTATAATATGTATGTATTTAAAGTTATATGCATAGTGTATCAACTATCTGGTATCGATAACACAAACCTCGTAGCTTACGATGAAACTAGATGGTGCTGTGTTAATGCCCCGATATACTTATTATTATTATTATTTATAGGGATTAAGTTAGATGTAATAATTATGTTTAGATTAAATACTAATATCATGGTATTAAAGTTAAACTCAATTAATCTACATTTATTTAATATATACATCATTTTTTAATGTTTATACCACAAGTTTATACAACCAGGTCGGCCTCATATATATATATATAGATAAAAAAAATGTAACTTAAAACTAATTATTATTATACTTTTAGTAAAGAATGGTACGTGTATGAATTAGATCTACCTGTTAAATATTAAAAAAAAATTGCCATATAAATTCCTAACCAATGCCAATTGCCATCAATAAGCTATGTCAACAATTTCATTTATTGTTTACATCTAGGAAATTCCAGAATAAAGCGAATTATCTTTAAAATAGAGCATTATCAGAGATAAATAAAATTTTAAGCAGAATTCTTATTTTACTGATGAGATGATTCAAGAGTTACTCGGTTCGGTAATTTGTATTTTTCCTTTTTTGGGTATATGTTTCTTTAATCAAGTTTTGTATTTATACCTCAAAGTATCCAAATAAATAGTTTAAAAAAACATCCCTTAGCGAGCGTCTTAACTGTTATCAAACTCAGTATTCTAAGATAGCATTAGATGTTCTACCTTGGAATTTAAATTAAAGAAGACCAAAATTGTCTGTTATTTAATGTGGTTTATCAATATACAGGTATACAATATATGTAATACCTATATATTGTTAAATTCAATACAGTAACATGCTTTGTACATGTTCAACATATATCACTTGCACTCCATCTTTGATATACCCATTGTTGTGTCGAGAGCTTCCATCATCATCATATGTGAGAACCCTCACGTAGACAGTTTGTACATATGTACGTATATATGTACACTAAAACTATTACTGTACTATTATATAATATAGAAATTAAATTAAGAATGTGTACTTGTTCTTAAATAATTTGCGATTTTAGTATAGAACTTCTTATTATTAGACATTACGTAATGATAATCGTATTACATATTAATCCAATCTAACTGAATGACTTATTGATTTTTGCTATCAGCGTTTATCGCCAGCCGAGTCAAAGGGCTTCGAGAAAGTGACAACAGTGTTAAGAGAAAACTCTTAAACATATTAAGATATTTTCTTGTTTAGAGCTGATCGTGGGAAATCTAAATTTCCTTCTTTGTTTATCAACAAGCTGCTATAAATAAGCGTGTTAGAGGGAGCGTGGTCAGACGATACTTGGACTCGGTTTAGATAAGTTCACCACACGAATAAAAATGTTTACCAAGACTGTGTTCGCGTTTGCGATGCTGATTTTAATAGTGCCATGGGTGACAACCACCCCCTTGCAGTCTAGATCCACTACACCCTTAGAATGTAAGTCGGTTTTCTTTCAATTTGCTAGCGAGATTTACTACACTGTCAATATGATGCTTTTAATTTTGATACTGTGATGTTTTACTTATTATGTGTAAAAATATTTTTTCTCACAATTTTTTTCTGGCAATGTGAATTTTTTTTTAAATTAATTATATGTTACAATTGTAAAATAAAAAAAATTATGTCTCATTTTTTTTTAAATAAAGTAAAGAATAAAATGAACTCTCCCCAAAATATGATGAGTTCATTTTCTAACTTATACTCGTATTACTAGATTAAAAATATTACTGGACTAGAAAACTTCTTACTTTAAATAATAAATTTTAAACGATTTATTATTTCAAATAAGAAGATACTTTTACGAGCAATTTTGATTTGCCCATATAAAGTACATAATATACTCGTAAGTTGTCATCCCGTAAGGCTTGTTATTTCGTAGGAATCCATTACCGGCTCAGAATTTCATTCTAAGAAGAGCGCTTCTTCTTCTTTTAAATTTTAAGTTATATTTTTGTATGAAATTTTATTACTATCCTTTAACAAAATTAACTTGCCTTATTTTTCAAATTTTGTGAGAAGATACTGTTTAAATGGAGTTATTACGTTTTACTAAATATACCTAATAATTTTAAATAAAAAACAAAAATAATTGGCGATGTTTTAAGGGAAAAGTAGAGTTAGACGGAAAATATTTACATATTTGTGATGTGATTTGAACCAATATAAATGATTGTGGAAGCAAAAAAAAAAGGTTTTGTACTCGTAGTCCATATAGATATCATGTTATTCATGCTGTTAAATTTCAATAATATTATATTAATTCAGTTTAAATTTAATACCGAACTAAAATTATAATTTTATTAATTTACTAATGACTATCGCATATCCGTCATAAAGCCGTATTTTGTTAAGATACTTATCGATAATTATTATTATTGTGATTTCAATTAGTAAATTATGTTGACCGATACCATATTCATAATACGTTTAAACCTTACTCAGCGACTGCACATTATAGAATTAATTTGGCCAAAATTATTTCAAGCTTAAAATCATCGTAACATTTCCTAAATGTCTAACCTATATGTAAATATTTATATGAAACTAGCATTGCCCGCGGCTCCGCCCGCGTTCTGATGAACAAAAACCAAATTCTTAGGTTTTACATATTAGTATACTCTTACAATGCAGTTTTTGTATTTTTTCTCAGAAATGAGACATTTTCCTACGGTAAAAAGTATAATATATATTAACCCGTATAACCAGCTATCATCATACCAAATTTCATCAAAATCTGGTTTTCTTGTGATGCGGTAACAGACAGACAGACAAAAATTCTAAAAACTATAGATTCGGCATCTGTATCGATAATTATGTCTATTTCAATAAGATTTTCCAAAAAATATTTAATGTACAGATTCGGCTTAGTTACAATTTTATTATATGTATAGATGAATTTGAAATCATCGGTTGTCGAACTTTTAAAACCTATATAAAACAAGCGGCCTTGCTTGCTTTTTCCTCTGTCATATTTTCCTTTGTAATTATTTTAATTGCAAATATTTTCATTATATTCATATATTTTTAACCAACTTCCAAAAAGGAGAAGGCTCCCAATTCGTCGGAATCTTTTCTTCTTTTTTAATGTATGTTTACCGATTACTCGAAAACGCCTGAACCGATTTTGAAATTATTTTTTGTTTCAAACGATATACTTCCCAAGTGGTCCCATATAAATTTTGTCGAAATCGGTCTAGCGGTTTTTAAAAAAATCAACAATAAATATTTTTTTAAATATATTCTTTAATCGAATATGTTATTAAAAAACTTTCTTCTTACAAATTACCTGCTTATTACATCTACACTAAAAAGGGGAAAAAAAAATTAAAATTTGTCGGCTGACACCGTCTTCGAAAATATCTGATCAGGTATCTCTTCTAAATGAAAACCTTCGTTTAGTTATTTTTTACACTTTAGTGCCTGAAAGTCGGTTTTTTAAAGTTTTTATATTTAATTAAATAAGTGATCGAAAAATATTGTTTTCTGTTTAAAAATTGCCACCTCTTATTGGGGCTCAATTTCAAGACGACAGTAAATTTCAAAATTCTTTCACATGCCATTTTAGGAATACACTGTGAAAATTTCAAGCCTTTGGGTCCAGCGGTTCGGTCTCGATGTTGATAAATCTGTAAGGATAAGCTAATACGGTCTTACATACAGCCTTATCTATCGATTTGAGCTCTTATACACTCATTTACAATACGATCGTTTCAAATATCGAGTTGTTAACATTTTTTATGTTTAATTACTTATTACGAGTGCAGGAAGTTATTTTCCTTCCTTTGTTAGGAACACTACGGCTAAATATACTTTAAGGGAAACATGAAACTCAAAACGAACTAAGAAAAGCTTCCTTGGAATGGAATGTTTATTTAATGCAAGTTTTCTGCCACGCTTTCCGCTTGTATATCGTAACGATAAAATAAAAATAGCCTCTGTCACGTTTACTCTAATCTTTAAATAATCGAAGTCTTGAGTCAAGCGAAATCTCAATAAAATCGATAAATTATACTTATACTCTCGCTTATATCCTGAATCAGCCGATGAACGATTCGTTATAATTAATTAGCGTCATTATATATAACTAGCGACTCTCCCTCACTTTGCTCGTTCGTTCCTTGGTACGTTTTAACGATTATTATAGATTTCAAAGATTTGAGAATTTTCCAGCAGTAAAAAGTATCCTAAATGTTGACCCAAATAACAAGCTATCATCATACCTTTCATCAAAATCCCTCGTGGTTTTTACGTGATGCGGTCACAGACAGACAAATATTCTAAAATCTATAAATTCGGCATCTGTATCTATAATGACTATTTCAATGAGGTTTTCCAAAAAATATTTAATGTACAGTTTCGGTTCAGTTATAATTTTATTATATGTAGATACTAGATTAGTGGGTATAGACAGACAATCAGACACAAAATAAATTAATTTTGTCTGAGGTGCTTAATAGGAGATGGCTATTGTGAAATGAAAATTTTATTCAACATATCAATATTCTCATCAGGTTCTTGAGATTTGAAAAGCTAATTATAATTTTCTTCGGGATTTCCTTGTTTTTAATTATATTTTTGAATATATATATACTAGCGGCTCACCCTCGCTTCGCTCGGGTTCGTCGCTAGGTACGTTTTAAATAGATATAAAAAGAAAAAATCTTTCTTTCTCACATTTTAATTATATGTTTTAATACTTACCTATTCCGGACTAAGAGAAATCCAAAAATTAAAATATCATAAAAATCTGAACGCGGTCGAACGGGATAAAAAGTATCCTATGTCCTTCTCCTGGCTCTAAACTACCTCCCTGCCAATTTTCAGCTAAATCGGTTCAGCCGTTCTTGAGTTATAAGCGAAGTAACTAACACGACTTTCTTTTATATATATAGATATATGTATAAATATATGTATATATATATAGATATATATATATATATATATATATATATATATATATATAGATATATGTAAAGAAATACGCACACATGAGAAGCCGTGAGTAAAAACTAGAAATATCTAAATTTGTTGTATGTGCGAGTTTGTTGAGAAGATTAGGTAAGTGTCTATGTAAACAAATGTTGTCACGTGATGATTATATTCGACTCAATTATCTGTAGTCATTAAAATAATTGAAAACAAATAATTATATTACACAAATAATTACATCAACAATCAAGTGAATAATTTAATATTACACGGCATTGACTGTCCATATTTTCAATACATAATATTAATTAAACTTATGTTTTGTTATATCTATACTAATATTATAAATGTGCAAGTGTGTTTGTTTGTTTGTTTGTTTGTTTGTTTGTTTGTTTGTTTGTTTGTTTGTTTGTTTGTTTGTTTGTTTGTTTGTTTGTCTTTCTTTCACGTCGAAACGGGTTGGCGGATTGGCGTGATTTTTTGTATGGAGATAGGGCTGAAGAGTGACTTAGGCTACTTTTTACCGCGGGAGATTGTCTCTTTCCCACGGGAAAATACGTTATAATACAATCCAAAAAATATTTATGATCAGAATGACTTTAAACTTGATATAAATGCTCTTCAATACAATTAATTAATTACGTGTTTTAGTATTTTTCGCAATTCATCCCGAGGGGGGTAAATTAGTGAATGAAATTTGTATGAAACGTACCATTTTAGAGTTATTTTGTAGTTTTAGCGCGAGCGAAGCCGCGGGTTCTGCTAGTATAACATAAAAGTATATACTTAACATAAAGTTATCACGATTTCATTACTGTGTTGAAAAAAATCTTATTTTGCACGCGTTCAATATGTTAGTTAATTGAATTATATACTTGCGTATCTTCCTTTTTACGTAAATTATAATCTATCTATACATATAATAAAATTGTAACTAAGCCGAATCTGTACATTAAAGTTTTTTGGAAAATCTTATTAAAATAAACATTATTATCGTTACAGACGCCGAATCTATAGTTTTCAGAATTTTTGTCAGTCTGTTTGTCTGTCTGTGTGTGTGTGTGTCTGTCTGTCTGTTACCGCATCACGGAAAAACCACTGGAGGGATTTTGATGAAATTTGGTATGGTGATTGCTGGTTATCCGGGTCAACATATACATAGGATACTTTTTACTGCGGGAAAATGTCTCATTTCTGATAAAAAAATAAAAAACTGCAATGTAAGAGTATACTAATATGTAAAACCTAAGAATGTGATTTTTAGTCATCTCAACGCGGGCAAAGCCGAGGGCGATGCTAGTATAATATATAATACATATTATAATACTTATGTAATCAAGACCGTGACCAAATAATCCTTCGGCTGATAATCACTAACTAACTTAGCTTTTAGTACATACAAAACAGATCTGCTAATGCTTGAGTCAGAGCTATTTATACGGTGACCTAAAACTAAACCGTTAAATTTTCGCTCATTGCCGTTGTAAATTCCAGTGTTATTTTATACTAGAACCCCAATGTCACACGATACATTAAATGATTTTAATGTCTATTACGATCCGTAATTACGGTACCTTTTTTATAAGCGAACTAGCATTGCCCGCGACTCCGCTCGCGTTCAGATGATCAATAATTAAATTCTTAGGTTTTACATATAAGTATACTCTTACAATGCAGTTTTTGTATTTTTTCTCAGAAATGAGACATTTTCCCGCGGTAAAAAGTATCCTATATGTTGACCCGGATAACCAGCTATCATCATACCAAATTTCATCAAAATCTGGTTTTCTTGTGATGCGGTAACAGACAGACAGACAAAAATTCTAAAAACTATAGATTCGGCATCTGTATCGATAATAATGTCTATTTCAATTAGATTTCCAAAAAAATATTTAATGTACAGATTCGGCTTACTTACAATTTTATTATACGTATAGATGTAAATGTAACTAAGCTTCCACTGTTAAAGACGTAGGCCTCCACCATTTCCGACCCATGGCATATAATGGGTTTATCCTCAGCCCGCCATCTTTCTAACGTATTTTGTTAAATTAAAAATTAAATATTTGCTACTTCCAAATATGCATATTGTTTTTAAGACAAAAAAAATGTTTATTAAAGTTATATTTCTTTTGGAACGTTTGGAAAATAATATGAGAGTAAATTTTTTACGATGCGTGCACACCTACAGGCAAAGAACTTCATGAAGTTCGCTTAAAGCGACGTGATGACGTTAGCTACATTCTTTTTACAAACAGAGAGTTGTGACATACGGGATGAAATCTTTAGCTATTTTTGTTCTGTTACGCCAAAAAAGTATAACTACTTATGTGCGTACATAAGTACATACACACACGTTTTTTTTATTATTTATTTCTATTAGATATTAAATGTGGAAAATTATAGTGTTATTTATCAATATATAAAAAAAAAATTATTTCTATGATAAATAATAACTAGCACTGACAATTGCACGAAAACCACATGATGTAATAGGATAAAAAGCTATCTCTATGGAAAAATCAAGTCGATCCTTTGTTTTGTTTCTGAAAGATCAAGGTTATTTGATTAAAATCTTAATGTAAAATTGAAACGTAGTTAACGGAACGGAAAGTTTTATGCGTCATCAGTCTCTCTTGTCTTCAGCGTCTTTCTAATCTTCGTAACAAATGTCTCTATTAATATTTTCTCTTTACTCTATTGCCTCTATATATTGCTTAAATGTTATTCTTAATAAAATACAATTACATAATTTAATTATGGCACCTTCTACTGAGATCGCTGGTTCGATATTCTAGAGAGGCATAGGTATATTTAAAAAAAAAAACCAATTATTGTTCTATGATTGTATTTGACAACATATTTAGCTCAACTTGTGACCCTACTTTTGTAGTACTTTCTGTTATGGGTGTTTATATTTATAATATGTATGTGTTTAAAGTTATATATGTGTAGTGTATCAACTATCTGCTAAGGTATCTCGTAGCTTACTATGGAAGTAGATGGTGCCGTGTGTTAATGTCTCAACATATTTATTATTATTTTATTTATTTTATAAGATTACTGCTATACATAAACGTAATTTGTAATTAGTATAAAATATTTTATTTCAGTGGTAAGCATCATCGAGTTAGAGGAGCCGTGTGTAAGACAGGGTGGTCTCTGCCTGCGTGTCGAGGACTGCGAGCCTGACAACCTGGTGCAAATGAAGGGAATTCTATGTCCCATGCAAAGTCACATGGGAGTTGAGTGCTGTTACGTAAGTAGAAAACTAGTCTATAAAATATATATATATATAATATATAGATTTCCAATATATATATATATATATATATATAATATATAGATTTCCAATATATATATATTAATAGATTTCTAAATATCGTAGTCAATAGAGAGAAACAATAGAGAGAAACCCGAAATAGACATTTTAAGCCTCTCGATCATCTTATTTCGATTCTTAGATTTTTTCGCAACAAGTTGTTTTTGTTTATATTTGTTAATTTTAATAAATGATTTGAGTACCTATCAAAATATTCGTGTTACGTCGTTTTATAATTTCATATTATTGCGACTTTTTAAAAAAAAAATATTTTATATCAAATTATAAAATATTATTTATGTTTTATATATTATGCTTACGTTTTAACTTTTAGTAGGTTTAAATTTTTCAGAGATGAGATATTTTCCCGCAGTAAAAAGTATCCTATAAGTTGACCCGGATAACCAGCTATCATACCAAATTTCATCAAAATCCCTTCAGTGGTTTTTCCTAGATGCGGTAACAGGCAGACAGACAGGCAGAAATCCTAAAAACTATAGATTCGGCATTTGTATCGATAATAATGTTTATTTCAATAAGATTTTCCAAAAAATATTTAATGTACAGATTCGGCTTGGTTATTTTTTACAATTTTATTATATGTATAGGTGTTTAATGTAAAATGAATGAGTTATATGATGATAACCTAATGATATTTTCAATTTATTGATTTCAGAATTAACAACATCCGATCATCCACACAAAAATCCGCCTTAACTTAAGAGATTTCTAATGGTAGGAAAATTAAACTTAATTTAGTTTTAAGGAGAGATGCTGTAAGGTTATTTATTCATTATTAAATATATAAGTAACTTATACTTAAGTTTTATGTATTGTTACGCTTTAAGCTTAACTGATTTTTTATTTTTTTAATTAAATCAGTACTTAATTATACTTTGCATTTTTATTTTTGGTGTTTCACAATTTTCCATTATCCACTTTCCATTGAAGTAGAAAGAGGCAATTGTAAAAAAAAACAAACTATTATTTTTAAAGGAGTTTGTATACTCGGACTAAGGAATAATATAGACGGAGTATCATAGAACTGAATATGAAGTTAAGAAAAAAAATGTTAATGAATAAAAGTAGCTAAAGGATTTTGTTATAATGAAATAAATAAATAAGCTATTACGCTATTTTTCTTTCAAAGGGCAAAGAAGAAAGCTTAAAGAACACAAAGAATATAGTAATTTTTTTACTATTCATTTTTATTATTTTTCTTTAAATCTGTATGGCAGCAAAATTACACTTTTTTTTGGCCTTTGATTTTTGATACATTACATACATTTTTTTGCGGGCTTCGACCTACCTTAGATTACTAGTTTAAGTAGTATTATATGATTTGCGTTTAGACTAAAGAATTACATAATATATATCATACCTATTATTCGTTTAAGCATCTTTCAGGTATATAAATTCAAATTAAATGACCAACTCCGTGAGCTACTCCGTGAACTATAATATTCTATTGTCATCAAAGTAATATACCGATGCCTTTTAAATGAGCAGAATTCTAAGTACTGTTACAAAGGACTGCATATTTCGGAACACAATCAGAACGAGAGCTAAATATGATATACAGGGTGGAAGAAACGAAGTGGACATGGAAAAGTACATATATAAATAATTCAATAAATCAAATTTCACTAAAGTGAAAAATTCTATTATTTTTCATAAAAACTTGAAAAAACATATTAAAACTGACTTTCAGACACTTATAAGTTAAAAAATAACTAAACGGGAAAACGGGAAGTCAGCCCCAGCCGACCATACTTTAAGATATGAATATCTAATAGGTAAATATGACAAAGTGTGAACTCTAATTATAGTTAAAATATTATATATCAATTTGTGATGGATTTTACGTATCGACATATATTTGCTTTGCTTTGCATCGGCTGGCAAGGATTTCGAAAATATCTGATTAGGTATCTATTGTACTAAATGAAAACCCCCGTTTAGATATTTTTTTTACTTTTTAGTGCTTGAAAGTCGACTTTTTTTTAAGTTTTTATTTTTTCCATTTTTAGTGTAGATGTAATAAGCAACTATTTTGTAAGAAGAAAGTTTTTTATTAGCATATTCGATTAAGCTATTTATGTTAGTATTATGAACACTAACATATTAAAAAACTCTCTTTTATAAGCAACACTAAAAATCTGGCTCTAGGTATTTTTCTTGATTTTCTCGAAAAAGGTAAGTTCTGTATAAAAAACAAAATATTACGGGACCGCCTCGGGACCTACTCTAATAGAATACAATTTAAAGTAGTAAAATCGCCTTCGAGACATCGGTGAACATATACATTATACATATATATATATATATTCTTTATTGCACAAATAAATTATAAAAAAACAAAATACATAGAAAGTGACGTGGACAAAGGTGGACTTATCTCTATAAGAGATCTCTTCCAGTCAACCCATGCATGTGGGAAATAGTGTTAAATAGCGGGACAGAAAGAGAAAGTGCAGAATTTTTGTTATAGTAAAGTATATAAGTATGACACATAAATAAAAGTTAAATATATGAATACATTAATATACATATATAAAAATATAAAAAACATATACATATTTTAATTATATACATATTATATAACATAAATACATAAATACAATTATAGATATATAATATAAACATGTAATCTAATACATACTAAAACTATATAAATATATACGTACATATAAATATATACATAAACATACATATGCAAATAAATGTTAAACAGAAAAATATATTGTTCAAGATTGAGCTAGAAAATGCTTTTTTATGTTCGTTTTAAACACAGCTGTAGAAGGGCTCTCCTGTAGGATTTTAGGAAGTTTATTCCATAACACTGCAGCACGTACCGAGAAAGAGTTTTGTAAAAACTTGGTGTTACTTGTCGGTATCTCAAGCATCGATGTGATGCAGGGCCGCCTGGAACGTGTAGGAGTCGGAAGCAGGTTGAACCGGAAACGAAGGTAAGAAGGAAAATTGTGATTATGAAGAATATTAAATAGAAACAAAAGGATGTGCATATCACGGCGAAGGCGGATAGGGAGCCATTGAAGTTGAGCTCGGAATTCGGAGACATGATCATACTTGCGTAGACCATAGATAAAGCGTATGGCGAGATTTTGGAGACGCTCAAGTTTATTCAGTAGCTCCTCTGTCACATCTAAATAGCATACATCGGCGTAGTCGAGTATGGGTAGTAGAAGAGATTGCGCAAGCATAACTTTGGTTTTGAAGGGGAGAAAATATTGGAGACGCTTAAGAGAATGGAAAGTGAAGTGCATACGCCTACTAACTTCATTGATATGAGGTGTCCAAGTCATATTGCAATCCATAATGAGACCCAAGTTCCTTACCTTATCGCAGTAAGGAATTGGAACTCCAGAGTAAGTAATCGCAGACACTGATTTCCAATCTATTCTGCACCTTAACCTGCTGCTGCCAATAATTATTGCTTGAGACTTCTTTGCATTAACTAAGAGACCGAAAGATTCGGCCCAAGTTTGAATAGCGATTAAGTCATTATTTAAATTTTGAATAGCATCAGGCAAATCGTTCAACTCACAATGACGATAGAGTTGTAAATCGTCTGCATACAGATGGTAGGGAGAAGATATGGCGCGAGATATATTATTAATAAAGATAGAGAAGAGCAGTGGTGAAAGAACGCCGCCTTGGGGGACCCCAGCCGTGAGATCCAACCACACTGATGAAGTGTCATTAGCTCTCACACACTGGCGACGCCCGAAGAGATATGAGTTAAACCAGTCTGTAGCCGCAGGGGAAATGTTAACTGCGCGAAGAGTGCCAAGAAGGATGTCGAAGTCTACAGAGTTGAATGCGCTACTAAAGTCAAGAAGTACCATCACAGTAAGCTTAGTGTTATCCATAGCGTACCGAATGTCCTCCGTGATGTTCAGCAGCGCACCAACAGTGCTGTGATAGGGACGAAAACCAGATTGGTAACGACATAATAGATTATAGGAGGTAAGGTAGGAGTAAAGTTGATTATGGACAATAGATTCAAGGACCTTGGATAGAATGGGAAGGATAGATATAGGACGATAATCATTGAGGCTGGATGGATTTGGGACTTTGGGTAAGGGTACGACTAGTGCATTCTTCCATTGTGTTGGAAAAATATTGCAGGTCAGTGAGTAATTTATGATGTGGGTGAAAACTGGAGCAATGCAGTCCAACACAGGAAGAATCATGTCGAGACTGAGGTTGTCACTACCGATGGCTTTAGTAGTGATGGAACGAATACATTTCTTAATGACATCTTCTGAGACTGGTTTGAAAGAAAAAGAGAACGAGTCTGGTGGGACAATACTAGATAAGTGATTAAGGGTAGCAGATTTGATTTGTTGATTTAATGTTAAAGGTGGGGTAGCAAAATAACAATTTAGTTTATTGAGGTCAACCGAGACTTCGCCCGAATTCGGGTTCTTGCCCACACCAAGTGACTCGAGGAATCTCCAAACTTGCGATTGGGAGAGACCCTGAATTGTGGTATGAATATACCGACGTTTGGCATCCCTACACATCCTGTTGCAGATGTTACGAAGCTTTTTGTATGCAGAAAGATTTTCTTCAGTTGGATATTTTTTGTTTTTAGATTTTGCCCTATCGCGCTTAGCCATAGTTCTCCTGATTAGAGGTGTTAACCAAGGGGCTGGAGCATGCTTCATGCGAACTGGTCTTACCGGGGCGTGAATGTCGTAAAGTCTAATCAGTTCAGTAGTTAATGACTCAACCATACTGTCAATATTATCTGATGAGAATACAGATGACCAGTTGCAATTCTTCACATCCTCTCTTAAGCGTTCCAGATCCATATGCCTAAAGTCGCGCTGGAAAAGAATTTTGCCTCTAGCCTTTGGAGAACGCAGTTTATATGATAGGTAAATTAAATCATGGTAAGAGAAAGGGGCAGTCATTTGGCCGTGAGATATTACAAGATTAGGCCTCGAGACGGAAATTAAATCAATAAGAGAAGGCCTACAGTTAGGAAAATAGTGGGTGGGAGAAGACAAAGGAAGAATATGCAGATTGAAAGAATCAGTTAGTGCATGTAACGTTTGGGCTCTCGTGTCATTTTTTAGTAAACAAGTGTTTAAGTCACCCATGCAAATCACTTCATCATATAGAGTTACAAGATTGTCAAATATACACTCTAGGTCAGTAAAGTAATTAATTTTGTCATTTGGGCAGTAAAGCACTCCAAGCAAAATTTTTTTATGGTGTACAGTAATTTCTAAGAAGAGATACTCGAGAGATCCTGAGGGATTTTGAGGGGATAAAGACACAACTCTGGCAGAAAGGCTGAAGCGAAGGTAGATACCTACGCCACCTCCACCTCGGCCAGAGCGGTCATTACGATATAATTTGTAACCTGGGAGAGCGCAACTAGTGGAAGGTAATGATGGTTTAAGCCAGGTTTCAGACACGAGTATACAGTCAACTACGCCGGTGCTAAAAGATGCGAGAAAGTCGGTATAATGAGCAAGTATACTCTGCGCGTTGATATGCACTAAGGAGAGAGAAGCCGATCTATCGTTTAAAGCATTAGTGAGTTTATCTGGAAGCGGTGCTGAGTCAGATAGTGATGTGCTGTTGCTGCCAGCACTTTCATATTCATCTGAAGAACAAGAAACATATTGATCATCTATCATA